TTGGTGCCCCCCCCCATCGGCAACAATAAGAACCCCAAAAAGCAAAAAAAAAAAAGGCATTCTCTATAGACCTGCTACTATTCTGCTTGACTTTTTCATTTATGTTTTATGTTATGATGCTGAGAAGGATCTATCTTATCAATGTCTTTGTGTTTTTTTGTTTGTGCTGTTGGAATACTTCCCAGTTAATGTAGAAGAAATAGCTTATAAATTGAAGATTATTTACAACCAGTAGAAATATCTTAAATGTGATAACTATTAAAATGACAGAAAGATTCAACTGCTGTGGTGGGGTATAGGAGTATGCACTAAGTGTACTTAAGAAAAAATCTTTTAAGATGACACAAGTGAATTGTTTTTTAAGTGGAATAAACAGTAGTGTGCGTGAAGCCCAGGTGGCAAATTTCATGTGCAGTATAACCATTTTAGCTGGGCTTAAGGTGGCTGTTGAGGAAGCTGTATAGTGTACATTGTTAGGGTCTCTATCACTTTAAATGATTTTAAAATCACATAAACTGATTTTTCATACTTAAATTTCCACCCAAGCCTCTGTTTTTTACATGCTATTTACTTCGCTAACATATTTTAGATCTGAAGAACTGCAGGCACTTCTAGATTCTTGTAAACATCGCTTTTTTCCTTGCAAACAGAATGAGGGTGATAATACACAAGGTAGTCTCCTTGCAGGAACCAGGAACACTGGTCTGTTTTCTACATAGTTTGTGTGTCTTGAATGAGCCCCTACCATCAGCAGACCTGGCATGTTTCATTTCAGAGTAGGCATCTCATGTATCTGAGGTGAGCAAGATGCAGTAGTTTGGAAGCTCCTCACAGTAATGCTCTAAGGTTCTTTATTAGTGCCCAGTCTAAGTATTCTTCTTCCAGTTTTTGAAATGCCTTCCACGAAAACTCTGGGAATTTTGTGTTCTGTTGTTGCCTGCAGTCTTTGTCTGCATGGTACCCCTGGTATTACAGAGTTACTTAAGGAAGCTTGAAAATGATTGGTAAATCCCTTTCTGTATCATGTAAATAATACTACCATATATTTAGCCATCCTGAGAGAGTGCTGCATATCCTTGTATTTAGTTTGCTGTCAGTCTTATTCAGCTTATAAAAACTTTGTATCCTCGTGGCCATGTCTACACGAGATGCTTACTGTGCAGTAGCTTGCTACTGCTGTGTAATAGCTCATTACTAGTGTTGCATGGCATGAACTGTACAATATACAGATCCTTCAACAGCCACCTGAAATCCAGCTAAGATGCTTATACTGCACATGAAGTTTGCCTCCTGGGCTTCAGGTACACTATTGTTTATACCACTTAAAAAGAATTTCACTTGTGTTATCTTAAAATATTTTTTCTTAAATACAGTATAGTAATGAGATCCTATGCTGTCAGCATCACCAGGAAGACTTGTGGGGATACTACTGTGAAGTAAATCCGGTTACGGTGCAGTCATTTAGTACTTAGGTGTACAAGTGCTAAATGACTGTGCAGTAATAACTGCACAGTCAGTGTCCTGTGTAGATGTGGCCCATGTATGTCAGAATGAAACTAGTAAGTAGGGGAGGGTGAGAGCAGTGCAAGAATAAGCAAGATGTGGGTAAAAAAGGGAAGGAAAATACAGAGATTAAATAATAAATTGTGCTTGACCGATCAAACCTGCCTGAATTGTTCTTCAATGGGAGAGCCAAAGACCTGAATAAATACTACTGTGCTAAATCTCTTTTAACCCTGGAGCATTTACCATTTGTGCTTTGTGTAACTTCCCATGAGCAGGGATAACTTGCCTTGAGGGCTGTTGGAAAAACTTCTGAGATTTAGCATTTTACCTTAACCTCTCCCACTCATGTAGCAACCATTCGCAATGCAGAAAAATATTTTTTTAATGTAAATCCATAAATGACAACAATAGGGTGAGAATTTAAATGGATGCAGGTAAGGAGACAAAAAAGTAAAGTAGCAGTGCCAACCATATTGTACATCTGATGTTTTATACTGATCCTGTAGATTCATCTATGCCTTCAAAAAAACCACTGGAGTAGCATGTTGCTACAGGATATTTAAATTTTTAATTCTTTGACTCAACATGTAAATCTTCAGCTCCAGCTGCGCATGTATTTGGGGAATATCTGAAGCAATAACTTTCTTTAAGAAGAAACATTCTAATCTTGTAGTTGACACACCTTCTTCTCATAAGTTCCTTTGGATGTGGTATTGAGGGAGCATATATTCAAATTGGTCGACCATCTCCTCCAGTTAGGTAAACCCCTAGCTATTACCCTAATTAGATGGTAAAATAATTTGAGGGAGGGACATCATCAGGTTAAATGCTGGTCCAGAAATTCAGTGACTACAGTACAAACTCTTTTGAAGTTAATGAAACTACTATTTATACAGCTGAAGACTATTTTAAAATAATGCTTATTCAAACTTATCAGGTTGATTTCCATTTTGATTTGATTAAAAATTGTATCAACATTCTAAGATTTTTTTCAACATATCTGCAGTCCCTCCCCCCACATGATTCTATTAAATATTTTTAACAGAAAGTGAACGACATTAAATATCTATAGTTTGTTATGATTTATTGGTGGGGTGGGGGGTGAGGGGAATGACAGAAATGAGATGAGGCCTGTTCATTACTAATGTCTGCCTGCAAATACCATGGTGTTTTTTGTCATCACTTTAGTCTTTGTCACTGTGGCTGATGCTAAAGTGTTTGGAAGGGAGAGTGGAACAACAGTAATAAAGAGATGATTCTTGGTATAGAGAAAATGGGTGGAATGAAACAGCAGTAGATCAAAAGTACCCCGCAAAGAACAACACTTGTCACTTACAAGGAATGTTACCTTAAAGCAGGGGTGGGCAAAACGTGGCCCGCGGGCCACATCTGGCCCACCAGCCCATTCTATCTGGCCCGTGAGCCCTCTAAAAAATTTAGAAAATGAATAGTTATCTGCCCCTGGCTGCCTGTCATGCGGTCCTCGATGGCTTGCCAAAACTCAGTAAGTGGTCCTCCGCCTGAAATGATTGCCTGCCCCTGCCTTAAAGGATGATTGCTTTAGTGTTAGAAAATAGCAAGAAGTAATATGGAAAGGGTGGAACTACTTGTTAACAAAAAGAGTTATTGGCATGGGGTGAAAGAAGAGGACCCTTCTGTCTACCTTCTTTCTATCTGAAATATTGTTTTTTTTTATGTTTGACTCCAAGTGTGACCTGTCAGCTTTGTAACCTTCCACAGATCAGCATTCTAGCTTCAATTGTTTAATTTCTGGGCATCAAAGTACAACTGACTTTTTAAAAAGTTGTTTGTTTTATGTTGTAACCTGACAACTCTTGAAGTTTTATCATTAATTTCACTCTAATGGATGATTTTCTAAAAGCTTCAGGTTATGGAGTTCAATTATTTGACAAGTGTTTTTTAAATAAGTGAAAGTGTCTAGTTGTCATGGCTGCAGAAAAAAAAGCTTACATGTGATGTAAATGTATTTGGAAGCTCAGCCAGAAGACTACTAAAATCTCCAAATTTATTATAAATAAATACCGCGTATTTGGAGCCTGGCTGTTAGGTTTGTTTGTTGTTTAAAAATGTGGAATTGACAATGTTGCAATTTTATAAAGTTTGATATAAAAAACACTTTAACATTTATTAAATATAACAATTTGTGATAACAATTTATTACATAATATAACAAATATAAGTATAATATACTAAATTAACAAACCAATAATAATATTTTATTATAATATAGTTATATTATAATTTATAATATGATAAATTAACAAATTAATGAATTATAATATAAATTAACAAATATAACATTTTGTTATATTAAATGTAACAATTGCAATTTTATAATGTTAGATATAAAAAAAGTAGCATTTATTAAATATAAGAGTAGTTTCCAAAAACTTTAAAGGGGCCCATGAGAAAGATGGAGAAAACTTGTTCTCCTGTGCCACAAGGACAGGATATATGGCAGTGGATTTAAACTCAAATCTTGGGATAAAAATCCTAACTCTAAGAACCTTAAAAACGTACTGGCCAAGGAAGTTGTAGAATGTCCTCCATTAGAGGTTTACATGAGGAAGCTGGATAGGTATCTCTGTGAGGTGGTTTAGGATAGCGAAACTTGCGTCTGTACAGGGTTGACCCTTGAAGATTGTTACAGACTTATGATTCCAATAAATATTTGAGAGGTGCCATTTTACTGAGACAAACGATTGGTGGTAAAGTTAAAATAAAAGCAAGGGAGGAGTTTAAGTACAGGTAGTCCTCAGACTTATGATGCAATTGGTTCTGAAAACAGTATCTTAAGTTGAAATGTTGTAACTCGGAACTGATTTTCCGACAGAAAACAATGTTATAAATGGGGGATTGGTTCCTGAACCAAGGCCCGATACCCTGTTTTCACCAAAAATAACCCAGAATTTTGTACTCAGTCAATTGTAGATTAGTAATATAGCTACATTAATGTATTCATATTGTAAATAGCAATCATATTGGTTTGGAAGGACTTCTTTGAGGTGACTTTGCTGGACTTTTTGAAGGACTCTTGGTTGGACTTTTTGAAGAGTTCTTGGCTCGATTCTTCTCAGGAGTTTTGGCTCTAGGTTTTTCCTGAGTCTTGTCTGCTTTCTTAAAGAAAGTATACAAGGAAGTTTGGACATATGTTCTCCAGGGAGATGGGTGACACAGTGACTTGTTCGCTGTTATGGCGTCACGTCAGATCAAACATTGTAGAGTTGAAACTGACATCAGAAAGTTGAAACAAGGTGTCAATTTAGAAACGTTGTAAGTGTGAAACGTTATGACTTGAAACGTTGTAAGTCGAGGACTGCCTGTATTATCCTCTTATCAGGTCCTGAAACTGTTAGATCAGTTGCATTAAACTATATATTTTCTTCTTGCAGAAATAAACTTAATGCTTCTCGGGAAATAGAGCCAGTAGAGCTTCCCAACTGCCACCTCATTAAAGGAATTGGTATGTATAATAAGGTTGAATATACTGCTTATACAGGGAGCCTTGCCTTGAAATCAGCAGCTAAAGCCAGATTTTAAAAAAATCTAACTTCAGTGACAGATATAATTGTAATTTATAAATGCTGCATAGCATTTGCTATACTTAATTATGGTGAGGCTGGGAAAGGCAGCAAGTTCTTCCCAATAGCCAGCTATGACATGTTTCATCTTTTTTTTTCATTTTGAAGCAGGAGGCTAATATGCTAATATCCTGGAAAATTAATTCTATAAGAGTATGACTTCATAACCACTGTAATTGTGAGGGCTAAATACGCCCCTGTTGCCTAACTAAGGTGTAGCCTTGCAGGTAAGGTACACTGTCAGATGCCTATCAGCTGGTAAAGAATTTGACATGCAGCGTGAAAGTTCTAAACTAATGCAGCAAACACGAGCTAACTGAAATGTTAATAAAAGCAAGCTGAAAAAATGCCAAATCAGGGGATTTGAGTGGCAATGAGTGTAAATTAGCAATGTAAACTGGCAGTTGAGTTTGCAGAATTAGCAGTGTAAACTGGCAATGAGTGTAAATTAGAGTGTAGATTACAAGTCTTTGCAGCCTGTGCCCCAGTCCCAACATTGCTCAGCACATTGCCTCCATATGCATTGCTGTCATCTGCCGGCCAAAAGACTGACAACCAAAGGGTAGAAAGGGTTTAATGGCTCTGACATGACAGTGTAACAAAAGTAGTAATGACAAGAGGTTCAGAAAGTCAGTGTGTTTATCCAAATACCTTTCCCAGATTCGCTTTACTTGATTGAATTTTCTGGTGACCTTTATAAAGAGAGGCCTCTAAATGTTACACAGGTAACATTGTTCAGTTGAGTGGGTCTACTGTGCATGGGTGCAGAGCTGTACCAATACATCAGTCCATAGTGTATTGGCACCAATAAAAGGAAAATTGACCTTATTGGTAATCACCCTTTTTTGGCTGATATGGCCGATAATGTCGCCAATAAATTCAGCATGTACACAGCCAGCCCGGCAGCTTGGAGAGCAGCGCCCAGCTGGTAAGTCTGTTGGGGAGGAAGGGGCAGGGGGAGGGAAGGAGCATGAGGGGTGCAGATCAAGGCCCCTGTGGTGAGGGAGGGAGTGGGGCTGGGGCTGGGGAAGGGGTAGGTGCTGCCCAGCCGGGCTGGAGTGCAAGACAGAGCTATGAGCAACTCGTCCAGAGATGGGGGGGGGGCGGGATCCTGCTGCTGCTGCTACACACAGCTCCAGGGGAGTCATGGGGAGTACATGCCCCCAGGATCTGTGCACGGGGAGAGGCCAGGCTGCTGTTGCGAGCTGGGGCTGGGGCGGCACTGGGCCCTTCCAGCTGGGTTTTTCCCCGGAGGGATTGGGCTGGGGCTGCGCTCAGACTGGGTGGTGTTGGCTCTGAGAGGAGAGGCTGTGGGCTGGGGGGGGCTACAGTGAATTTTGGTGTGGCTGTAGCTCACCCTGTAACCCTCCCCCCCTCCAGCACTGCTACTGCCCAGCCCAAGCACATCTCTGTCGCCTTCCTGCCCTGGTTGGGCAGCACCTGCCCATGACCCAGCCATACTTCCTTCCTCATGGCAGAGGCCTCAATCTGCTCCCCCCCGCCCTGTCCCTCCCAACAGACTTACTTGGTGGACGCCTCTCTCCAAGCTGCCGGGCTGCATATTGTCATTCGGCTTGGTGTTGGCTGATGCGGCTTGTTAATAATCAGCCATTGGTATCGGCCCAAAAAATCTTTATCGGTACATCCCTACTTGGCTGTATGTTTGCTTACGTGTTTATAGGATCTGTCCATGTGATGACAAAAGGATATCTTCTGTTTGAGGGTGTTGGACCTTTTGTGTTTTTCCCCCCTTCTCTTAAATCCCTTGACAGCTGGATTTTGTGAACCTTCTGTATTTAGTTGAAAAATGAGAATAGTCAGTCTGCCTCCTTGAGGAGGGATGTAGTTAAGGGACTGGATCAGTTCTGAATAAAGTAATCTTAAACTACTCGTTTTGTTTGTGGAAGAAGAGAGCAGCTGTTTCAGTCTATTGTAAATATGTAAAAACCATGCACCAGCAGCAAAAAAAGCAAACCTTTTAGTAACTTGATTTCTCTAGTGCATTGGGGTTTTTTTTCATACAGAATTTCCCATTTCTGTTTTTTTAAACTCTTATTAATTTTATTTTTCAATGTAAAAGAAAAGTAAACAAAGAAATACGATTTTTTCTAGAAATTAAATTAAGCAAGGAAAGTGAAAGGACCCAGAATAGCATTTTTTTATTTTTTTTTTTTTGGTGTAAATTATTCAAATTGCAGCCTTGGTATGCCTCCAGCAGTTACACGCAAACTTTGTTACAGGTAGTATAGACATCATGGATATGTATTAATCCGGACATTTTGAAATGGAAACACATTTTGAATCAGAAGACAAGGATCTGTCATTTTGAAAACATGGAATGTTCTTTTCGGCACTTTTGAAGCTTTCCAATTTTTGACCCTTCCTGTGACAAGTGATAGTTTCAATGAATCATCATTTTCTAAGGGAGATGGAGTTCTGGAAAAGGTCTTATTGTCACTTCGGAGTGCACTCGCATCCTCTCCATCCTGGGTCTGGTTGCTTCTATGTACTGTGACTATTAAATATGGCTCTAGGGCTAATAGTGTCGATCAGCTGCTTCCAAAATGTCAAGGAGCTTGAACTGATGAACTCCAAAAAAAATTGAAATGCCTCTTGTGTCTCCCTATTTCCACAGTTGTGTTATTGTGAGGATGATAACATTTGTCCAGTGTGATCCATCTTGGCTTCATTCTCAGGCTGCTTTTTATTTGCACCTTGAATGAGCAGACAGGGGTTAAAGGACAGCATAATGGATCTTTTTTAAACCACAAACCACAGTTAATAATTTCACCTGAATTGTAAAACTAGTTCAACAAGTTTTAGTTGGTCCTCCCTATACCAATCGGAGCAGGAGGGGGAGAAGTGTGAGTTTAGTGTGGATTTTGTTAATTGGTTACTTTTTTGTGAGGTATTTGTACTTTTTTGATATTGTGAGTTTACTGTCTTCACTATGTCAATTTTTATCTTGATTTTCCTTCAAAATGAAATTGTATTGCTTATTTTCTACAAGGAGACTTTTCTGTAACTATGCATACAGGCTGTCAGTGTTTATCAGACTCTGGGTCTGATCAACTATGTACTAAAAGTGGATGGGGAGCTGTTCCAGATCAGCAGCAATCCTGGTTTTCTCTGATAAAAAATCAGAAATTCTATGATTTAAAAAAAACACACTCAAAATCCATATTTTTCCATGATTAAAACAAAATGCCACTACATATTATTTGGATTGATATGGTGCTTGGTTTTGATCACAGAAAAATGTGGATTTTGACTTGTATTTTTTTTTTATTGGAAAATTTCTGATTTTTTTTAAATCGGGGAAAACCACGATCCTTGCAGATCAGACAGCAGCTTTTACACTGTTAACAGTACCTGTGCAGTAGCCTGTAGTGATTTAAATATAGCCAAACAACTCCAGCACTAACCTGGAATGAAGCAGGATTAAACTCAAGGCAGTTTGCATCCTTTGTAAACTGCAGTTTACCTCGTTTGGCTGCCTACAAGTTACAGCTGCTGCACACTGGCAAGCAGCAGCTTTTCCTCTCATTTTGAAATGGCTTTAAATGTACATTTGCCCATGCCCTCTCTTTGCCATGTACATTATGGGCAGAACTTTTCACAGACCTCTAGCATAGGGGTGACTGTAGGTGCAGGCAAAGGTTAGACTTACCACAAGGTAGGCTGTGCTTATTCAGTACTTTGACTGATATTGTACAGTGACTTTTTGAGGGTTAGTGCCAGTGCCACTAGTAAATATTGCCAGGAGTGCAGTTTGAGCAATCTGTATACAAACTTAAAAAGGGAATATTATACATGTAAGCACTGTACTGCAATACACCTCTGTTGGAGTAGCCATCAGGTCTGCAATGTATATGCAGCCTGAAATCCCACTGAAACATGATAAACGTGATCAGAGAGCATATTTCCCTGGAAACAGCAAGGCAATATTCCTACGTGAATTGCAACAAACAGAAAACCATAAGATGCATGTTCCCATGAGGCAATTGGCATTCTTGTCACAAAACACAGACTTCTGCCAGTTCAGCATCTTGAGGATAACAAGCCAGAAACTGAACAGCAGCCTTCTCTGAGAAGATAGTGTGGTACGCTATAAGGAAGGACCACCAAAGTGCTGCTGCAGTCTGTTGATTTATGAGGGCCATAGGGTTTCTTGATTTCTAACACCAAGAAGTATATTCAAGAAGCCGTGGAGTTAAGTTGCAGTGTTCCTGCACTGTAACTGCCTAGAGAGACAAATAACTTGCTCAGCCAATCAGAAATCAGATTATGAGTTTTAGTTGCAAAATTGCCATTTATGTTATGTAGACATCTGTGGCAGGGTAATACCTGGTCTGGTGATTGTGCATGAGGAGGATAGGATCCTGTTCAAAATATATAAATAAGACTGTGCTTCAGGCTATTAGATGTGCTCTGTGGAGAGTGCAGTCTAATGCAAAAGCCGATAACTTATCTCAAACTAAAGTGAAGCTCTTTTCGTTCATGAGAGATGCTGTGAGGCTGCTTTAAAATGATTCTAATTAAAACAAAAATGCAACTTGAGCCTTTTGTTTAACAAAGATTAGCAAAGCGTCCCTTTTGAGGTCATTCTTTAATAAAAAAAATAAATAAAACAAGTTGCTGTGCCTCACCTCGGTCCTGGAGCTATAACTCCCTCTTAGGCCTTGCTTTTGCTAGTTCTTTTGCTGAGGGACTTCAGCTGGGTCTGTTAGCTATGCAGTTTTATCAGTGCTAGAATAGTGCAGATGGAGAGCTTAAACCTGTTCAGAAAGCACTAGTTCAATACCAGCAGAGCGAAATTTTTCAGAAATGCCATGTTGGACACACTTAGGAGTGGAGCAGTTCATTTACTGCTCCAAGCATGTGCTCCATCACTTGTGCCGTAAAAGAACCATTTTCTTGTTCACAGTAGTGGTGCCAAAGGGGGGTTGTTTGGCAAGCTTCAGTCCTACAAATATTTGAATAGTGCTGTTGCTCCTTTCTTTCCTAAGTAGAAGAATATTGAGAAGTGGCCAATATGTGATTTGTTGAGGAGTGTCTTTTGAAATAGTGGTGTACATTCCAGCTTTCCTGAAGTTACCCATTTCATGACCTCAGTCACTTTAAATATCCAGTCCTAACTGACCTTCTTATCTTTGCTCTTGGCAAACAATTTTATTTTAGTGGAGAGAAAATGATTATAGGTCATGGGGCCGAGCCCTGACCACTTAGAAGGTCACAGCTCAGGCTCGGGAGCAAATAAGACCAGACTAGAGTCAAAGGTTGGAGGCTCAGGAGATCAAGGTTCATAAGGGACCAAGAAATTCACTTGCGCCTCTAACCTCGTGGTAAACAAGTTAGGGGGGTGAGGAATAGGAAGCAAGGATCCAGACAAGCCAGAGGGTCCAGAGCAGGCAGCTGTAGCTGCTAGGGACCTGGACATGGGTGCTTGCCAAACTAAAGCCATGAGTTAGCTGTCAGAAGACAGGGATATAGACTGGAGTCAGGAGCTGAGGGTCAGGGGGTGGAAGCAGAGTTAGGAGCTGGCAAGTCTGGAGCAAGGAGGCAGTAAACATTAACTGGGAAACTAGGGGAATCAATAGGCAGGAATGGGAAGCCAACAACAATAAATCAGCCCCTTAAGACTTTTGTTCTGTTAAGTAGCCTGCTAGGCACTAAAAGAGCTGCTATAAGTTGCGTGACCATATATCCCAGTTTGGCTGGGGGCAGTCCTGGATTTCATAGGCTGCCCCAGGGTCCCATCTGGTTGGTGAAAATTGAAACAAAAATTCTGGACTAGCAAAAGTTCTGGATTGGCTTGGGGTGGGGCCAGGGAGAGAGCACTTCTGTGAGCATGGGCTGCTTGTGTGCACATGTGCGTGTGGCATCCCCAGGGGTGGGAGATGGGGCAGCTCAGACTCCTGCCTCGAGGGGAGCAGAGGTCCTTCCCCCTCTCCCACCCATCCAGCTGATGGCAGGGTCCCATATTTGGGGATGCAGCTCTGGGCACTGCTCTGGAACTGCAGTCCTGGCCAGGCTGGGCCGATTGGCTGCAGGAGCAGCAGCAGCAGCAAGAGGCCCACCTGGCTGCAGCCGTTGCCATGCCAGGTGCTTGCATGCATTGCCCATACAGGTTGGATGCAGGGGGGTAGCAGAGACATGCACCTAGCTGTGGGGATACTGTGCACCTGGGTCTGCGTGGAGGCTGATGCCCCTGTGTGCCACTCCATGATTCTTTCCAGGTGCTGCAGCTGGAAGTGAGAGGGGCGCTGGATGGCTCCACCAGGTGAGAGGGTGCATGCATAGGGCTGGGGGGGAATCACAGGGGCATGGAGAGCAGTCCAGCAGGGAGGCAGAGTGACATGGTGCTCCAGGCAGGTGGGTGGGCAGGCATCATTGCTGCCTGCCTCACCCATCACGCCTTTCCACCTCTGCCTCTTCCTGTAACATCACTGTTTACTTGGGAGAGTGGGGGGTGCAGTTCCGTGGATTTCCCATGGTTCCATATAGTCGCCCTGCTTATAAGCAGGCAGCCACACCCATGGGGGTAGTTATGCCACTGAGGACCATCCCCACTTAGGTTACCAGGGCCAGCTAGGGGCCATTTAGTTTGCCTGCTTCTCTGACTCCTACCTAAAGGTGCCTAAAACAGGACAGAAGTACATTTGTGAAAGTTGAAGTGCCCTGAATGGTCTGATATAACAGGTAGGGGTCTACCAAACTGAAGGAGGCTGATTTCTCAGGCAGATTATGGGGCTGTCTGCCATTTTCATGGGCTAAGCATAGTGGGGCTTCTCCATACTCTGATTGGCTGAGGGGCCCCAGCAGTCCTGCCCTTCCCCACAGATTACCATGTGGCCTGAAATTGTGGCTTAATTACTCTGATTGAACCTGGGGAATCCATTAATCCATGTGATATTAAGCATGTATTAATGGCTTCTCTTGGTTTAATCGGGGTAATTATGCTGTTGTTTTGAGCCATCCCCAAGTCTTGGGCAGTGTGATTTTGGCAGGCTCACTACAGAAAAAATCCCTATGGCCTGCAGCCTTTGTGACTCCTGCTGCCAGCCCTGCACTGAAGCACCTTCATGCCCCAGCCAGCCCCTCTGCAGCATGTTGAGCCAGGGGGGAGCAGTTCCAGGGCTGCAGGCGGACTCCCCAGGCTCCCTGCCAGCTGGACCTGTTCTGACCTGGCTCAACATCCTGCTGTCCCAGGCACACATGTAAACATGGTAGCTGGGAGCAATAAACTCTGGCACAGCTGTGCTAGAGTTTATTTAGGTGCATTAATTTCATGTGTAGATGCGTCCACTGAGCTTAGTTTGGCATGTCTTCTGACTAGCTGTCTGCACCTTGGTGCGTGGGGTTTGTGGTGGCACACTAGGGGCACTACTACACAGAGCTGTCCACCTCACTGTGCCAGGCCCAAGACTGCCAAAGTGAGGTTTCTCTCAGGGAGTGTATGGCCGGCTGTCCTGCTTCCTGGAGAACGCCTGCAAGCCTGGGGTAACGGCGCCACCACCCGGGCACTAATCTCTGGCAGGGCTCTGTGCTGCCTGGGGCGCACAGACCCGGCAAATCTAGGGGGTGCTTTGCCCACCCAGTAGTATTTCTGGGTGCTTCTTTCAGCCTGAAGCATCCCAAAATAGCATCAGGTAGAACTGAAGGAAAATAAGAAGACAAACTTTGCTGGCCAAGCAGGGGGATGAAGGCCTCCCTCTTCAACAGCAAAACAATGAAGGTTGTAACCCAGCACCTTTATTGAACAGAGGTGGAGGGTAGAGAAGTCAGAATATACTTTGAGCAACCAAAAGCAACTTGAGTGTTTACAGAGATTGGATACAGGAAGCCTTTTAAAACACGACTGGCCTACACACAATTCCTAGCTTCTGGCAGGTTTCTACTTGCAGAAATCACCAGGCAGCTGCCTGGCGTCCTTGCTTGCAGTTTTCAAAATTGCCTGCTGGAAGCAAGAGGGAGCTTCCCTCCACCCCCCAGGAATTTTATCTGGCCAGGTCACCTGATTGACCAGTCTGAACCAAGAAGAAGAAAGCAAGGGGAGACAGGGGGCACCTGGGCTGACCCGAGTGAGGGGCAGAGAGAAAGGCAGGGGATTTCTTCACAGGGTTTTGAATCATCTCTCTGTTTACTTGTCCTCAGACACTGCATGGAGCCAAGGTCCTTAACTCTGGGTTTTGAAATCCACTTGGGTACCAGGTACATAAAGGAGTAGAGCCTGTAAAGGAATTGAGTGCTTTTGTGACTTGTCCTGGGTCGCACAGGACGTTTGTGGTACAACAGAAATTAGCCAACCAGTTGTTAGCTAAGGGCTGCCCTTCCAAAGGCCTGATTTGTGGGTATTTATTTTTTCTTCTTGAGGGTGAAAAACACTTCGGCTTTACATTGTCAGTTTTGAAAAATGTTGGAATTCTGCTTATACTTGTTTCCCAAAGAACAGGGCAGGGCAGTGTTCTGAGAGGAGCTATGGGTGAGTGGTTTGCAAAATTCACCTTACAGATGGATTAAAAGACCTCAATCCAGTCAACATATTAAGGACTGTGAGAGATGACTTCATCAAGGCACAAAATCACCTATGCAGGGAGAAGATAACTGTTACTAGAAGTTTCTTTGTCCTACCAGAGTTATGCTTTGCAGTATCCAGTGGCTGGATGTTGATATCTCCAAAGCTGACATGGAAATTACCAGAGACTTCAACTCAAGAGCCAGTTCTGTCTCAATGGGTTGTTCCAGGTCAGCCAGAAGTTATTGGGTCAGAGGCAGGAATCAATAGGATGCATTATGTAGAAGTTCAGACTGAGGGCCTAGATGCACGTTACGTACATGCCGTTAAAGCTCTTTGAGTTCAGGAAAAATGGCAGTTCTGTGGCAAAGAAATTGCTGCTTCAGACATCATCTTTGTTGTGGGAAACCTTTCTGTGACAAATTTAATGTGTGGACAGGTCTTCTTGTCCCCCAGTATCCCACAGTGCTCTGCTCTTTGTTCCCCCCTGATAGTCCACCCAGGAGTGAGCTGTCAGGGAGCCTCATCACCCATTGCTATGGGGCTACAGTTGTGGCAGGAGCTGACTGGGTGGCAGAGGTCAGCCTTTGCAGCTGCAGGGGGCTTTCAGGCAGTCTTGTACCCCTTGCTATGATGTGGGGAGGAACTGGAAGGAAACCTTATGAGCAGCCAGACTTTTACGGGAAAGCTTGTGCTGAGACAGATTTACTAGGAGGGCCTAAATCTAAGGAAACTTGGTGTCTATGGAGTGTTGAAAATGCCTCTTTGGTATCACTTTCTAGCTGCTGCTATTGCTTCGGGCACATGGTACCACTAACATAACAGTAACTGAAAATAGCATCGCTCTGTTTCTTGAGAACTGGAGTTGTGTAACAGAAGACAAAGATGTGAGCAATCAACTGTGACTATTCAATACTTGTGCATAAAACACTTCTCTCTTTCCCTCTACAGAAGCTGGTTCAGAAGATATTGACATTCTTCCTAATGGTCTGGTTTTCATTAGTTCCGTAAGTATCTGTTTCCCATTAGATGCAAGGATATGACTAGTTCATTACTTACAGGACCAGTGAGTACAAACTGCAGGCTAGACTTTTTCTGCACAAGGGGCAGCTAGTTGGCTTAGAAAAAACCCTTTGCTGGTTGGATCTGCTGTAGTGAGATTGCAATAGGTGAACTCAGGTTTTTCTAAGTTCTTCTGGGGCAAGACATGCAATTGGGGTAGATGCCTTAGAAAAACCCATTGGAACAGAGAAGGGTGGGAGCTGAGCATAGCAACGTTTGCTGGTGTTGTTTAGGGAGAGTTGCTGGTCCTTAAGCAGGATCTTGGACCTCCGTGGAGGTATGAATGGATCAGTGATCTGGGGAGGTCCAAAGAAAAATGAGGATGGGTGTTGCTGGTGTGCAGCCAGGAGGCTCCGAACAGCTGTGCCAGGCTCCGGCATCAGCTCTGCACCAGCGCGTGCAGGCGCACCTCGGAGTGGGCAGTGTGGGGGGGGTCCTGAGGCAGTGCAGCCCTGGTCTCTTCCCCGCTCCCGGCACGTGGGTGATGAACCCAGTGCAGCTGTTTTGTAGCCAGCCTGGGCTCTGGGCAGCTGCAGCAAGCAGTGGGCAGAGTGTAAACAGCTCTGCCAGGCTGTACAGCTCTGGCATCAGCTCTGTGCTGGTGGCGACTGCACGGGCACCTTGGGGCAGGCTGCGCTGCCCCACTGTTTGTCCCAAGTTGCACGTGCAGTTGCTGCCAGCACGGAGCTGATACCGGAGCTGTGCAGCCTGGCAGAGCTGTTTGCACTCTGCCTGCTGCTTGCTGCAACTGCCCAGAGCCTGGGCTGGCTCCAAACAGCTGCACTGGGCTCATCGCTTCCATGCCAGGAGCAGGGGAGAGACGGGGGCGCTGCCTTAGGTCCCTCCCCCACCACCCACTCCGAGGCCTTCCTGCACACGCTGTTGCGGAGCTGATGCCGGAGCCCAGCACAGCTGTTTGGAGCCTCCTGGCTGCAGCCACCCCTGGCTCTGGGGAACTGCTGCCAGCCGGGATCCCAGGCTGCTCCCAGTAGGCAGCTGGGATGCTGCAAGCCCTGCTGGGAGCAGCCTGGGCTGCAGTAGCTACCCAGAGCCGGGGTAGCTGTTGGCAGCCACATAGCCCAGGCTGTGGGGCAGGGGCTTTGGGTGGTGGGCAAGGGGCACAAGCAGGGCATCCTGCCATGTACCCCTTGCCCTTGTTTTGTTTTTCTGCCATGCCAGCACTCTAGCACCTTCCGAGGTAGGCATTGTGGTGTTTTTCAGCACTCCGGCCAAAAAACGTTGCCTACCCCTGTGAGGCAGCAGCAAAGGCAGGCATACATCTGGTGGTGAGAGTGGGATAGCTTCAACAGGGAGGCTGCATGACTGTAATCCACTTACCTGAGACAGTGTGGGGGTTCTGGAGGTGTAGTGAGTTAAGGAGGGCTTCATTGATTTATGGAAAGCTTTAAACTTGGGGAAAGAATGTTTTTCTCTGTAACTGGGGAGTTGCACTCTTGCTTACAAAGGAAAGTCCTGAATATCTGGGCAAAGGCCTGAAACCCTTGTCTGTGGAACCATGGCTGTCCATTGCCTTCATGTTGTGTGAAAGTGGAAGAGGACAGTATGGGAATGCCCCCTTCACCTGTAACCTGGGAGACCCTTGTATATTTAGCCAGAGTCTGGAGCAGAAGAGATTCCTGGTGTAAACCAAAATCAAAGCTTTCGTCCAGTGGTTACCATACTTTTTCGACTCAAGGGGCCCCATACGAATCTGAAGGCATCCCTTCAGAAATTTGTGAGTTGAGTGGCACCCCCTGTAAAAAAAACAAAACAAAACAAAACAAAAACAACCCCGCCAACTATTTTATTTATTACAGCACATACTTCCTTGCACAAGGGGCAAGCAGTGTGGGCAGGGGAACAGCTAGGCAAGGGGAGACTAAGCGTGCCCATATTTGCTTTTCTGCTTTTCTAACCTATCTCCTTGCATTTTTTGCAGCAGCCTTCAAAGGATCTTGCAGAACTCTGGTTGAGAATCATGGCTGTAGTCTAATCAGCCTTAACAGGATCTTTTTACCTCAGACTGATTGTGTTTGTTCGCTTTATTTTTAAAGGGTTTAAAATATCCAGGACTTAAAAGCTTTGCACCAGACAAGCCAGGTGAAATACTTCTGATGGATTTGAATGAAAAAAACCCAAAAGCAAGAGAATTGAGAATTAGCCGCGGATTTGATTTGGCATCATTTAACCCTCATGGGATCAGCACATATATTGATAACAGTAAGAGTTTTATATTGGAAGAGTGGTAAGTCTTAATCTAGAGTTTAAAAAAGGATCCCTTCGCTGTTATGCACTGCCTCATAGCCTGCCATCAAAAACGTGAGCTTGATAACTAGATGAAGAGGCAGGGGGAAAGGAAAATGTTGCATTTTTCTTCAGATAGTTCCTTTTTTAAATTGTCATAAGTGACCTATCAAGAATCATCAGTATGTGAATAAAGGTATCTTGGAGATCAATGCCCTGTCTAGTCTCCATTGCATTTTAAGTTGGCCAAAGGGAACTTAATATGGATTGAGGATTACTTTCCTGCGCACAGCTGATATTAGTGGATGGTGGGTGTCATCAGCGATCTGGATGATGGGGTGGATAGTAACCTGTTTAAATTCGCTGATGACACCAAAATCTGGGGGGAGGTGAGCACGCTAGCAGGGAGGGAGAGATTGCAGAGGGATCTGGATAGGTTACAGGGGTGGGCTAACAGGAACAGGATGCGTTTTAACACGGACAAGTGCAGGGTGCTGCATTTGGGCAGTAGGAACCAGCAGCACACTTACACAATGGGGAACTCCTTACTCGAGAGCACGGAGGCAGAAAGGGATCTTGGAGTCATTATTGACTCCAAGATGAACATGGGCCGACAATGCGAGGTCATGGTTGGCAGGGCTAACCGGACCTTGTCGTGCATCCACAGGTGCATCTCGAGTAGAGCCAAGGAGGTGATCCTCCCCCTCTACGCGACGCTGGTCAGGCCACAGCTGGAGTATTGTGTCCAGTTCTGTGCGCCCCATTTCAAGAGGGATGTGGACAATATGGAGAGGGTCCAGAGGAGGGCCACCCGCATGATCCGGGGACAACAGGGCAGACCCTACAGTGAGAGACTGCGGGACCTGAACCTATTCAGCCTCCACAAGAGAAGGCTGAGGGGGGACCTGGTGACCGTCTATAGACTCACTAGGGGGGACCAGAAGGGTTTGGGGGAGACGCTGTTTCCCCTAGCGCCCGCTGGCATAACAAGGAGCAATGGGCACAAGTTGATGGAGAGGAGGTATAGATTGGACATCCGCAAAAACTACTTCACAGTTAGGGCGGCTAGGAGCTGGAACCAACTTCCAAGGGAAGTGGTGCTGGCCCCTACCCTGGGGGTCTTTAAGAAGAGGCTGGATGCCTACCTGGCTGGACTCATTTGAGTCCCGTTTCTTGTTTTGGGGTTTTGTTGTTCTCCCGCCCTGGCGGGGGGTCGGGCTAGAAGATCTACTAGGTCCCTTCCGACCCTTAATCTATGAATCTATGAATCTATGAAAATGACTCCTAAAAAAAGCATGATGGAGATTGGAGATAGAGAATCTCTGTATTGAGCATTTGATGTAAGGAACTCCCACTCTGTGCAGAAAAGGGGTATTTCAGTCATGGGGGTGAGTAGGGCTGAGGGGCTTCCAGTAAGCATACTTTCTTGTCTTCCATGCCAGAGGAGAGAGTACCCTCCTGATCAAGCAAAATGATGCTAGACTGGTTCCTGGAGAATTATGTATTCTAGGCTTTTCTTTCCTTGTAATGTCAGTGTGTGTGAACAGCTTACTTCTGTCTTTGAAATGATTGTCTTGTGTGAGAGAGAGATGGGCTGGTTGCATAGCTTCCGTTGAGGGTACATGGTCATTTAGGCTTGCTGAATGCACCACTAGGAGAAACAGAATGCCACGAACTTGGGAACCTGGGTTTGATGTTGTGGGTCTCTCCCTTGAGAAACATAGGGATCCAGGGGCTATTAATGATGTGCTCCCAGGAAGCCTGCCTAAGGTATGGAGGCATAACATATCCTGATAGTAACAGTTTCATTTCTTGAATGTTCAAATATGAACTGGGTTCTTTGGGAAGGGAGTAGAATATGTCAGTGTATCACCTGGTATACAACAGTCTTGCTTCTCTGCATGGGGTTATGCTAGGTGACCCTGAGGTCGCATTCTGTTCTGATTCTGTGGAACGTAGTGGCTCCAGCCACCACTGTTCATATATTGTCATTCTGGTGCAGTGAGCCTTAACTGAACTTTGTCTATAATATAGTACCTGTGCACAGGAGTGTTCCTTTACTTCACTTAACCTCATCTCTGCTCTCTACCAGCCAATTATCTTGTGGCTGAAATGAAGTTCTTTTTCCATTACCTTTGGTCGGAAAGAAAGAGAGAGAATATTTTTGATAAGAGAATGTCTATTTTTTAACAGTAAAAGGCTGTTCAGACCATTGGTATTCTCTTCTACCCCTACCAAAGGCCTTCAGTAGGGTTCTCTCTTTTTCTGTCACTCGGAGGGGAAAAAATGAACACAGCTGCATGCCAGTTCCATGAAGTTTTTATGGGGAAGTGGTATTGGATGTAATAGTGTGGTAACAGCTAAGCTCAGATCCAACAAGAATGTCTTGTATCCCAGTGAAAGCATATTACACTTCCACCTAGTCATAGGCAGTACAAAAGAAAAATACATTCCTTTTTAGAAGACACATTTCTGAGTCATGAGCCAGATAAAGTCAAATTGTTGCTGGTCAGTGACCTTTTGGGCCTTTTCTATCTCTGCTGGCTAAGATGCAATCGTGGGCAAGGTTGAGCACAAAGCCAACTTCAGCTTTCTGCTGGTGGAACTATGTGTGTGCCCTTCTCTGAAAGATAACTGTGCAATCTGAGGGCCCACTTTAAAAGCAAGTAATATAAAGCACTTAGCTGTAGTATCCAAGAAGGGAAAATCTTTCAGCTGATGCTAGCTTAAAGGGCTGGAGAACAGGTTGGATATTATCTTCCTTTGTGACCACAGACAAGCTACATTGTACTTAAGTTCTCTACCTGTAAAGTGCAGACGATAGCAGTGCCTTACATCACAGGGGTGTTTTGTGAAGGTAAACAGGTTTTAACTTCTCCCCCCCCCCCCCCCCCCCAAAAAAAAAAAAAAAAGGCAGCCAGGTACCCTGGTAATGGAGGCTTCATGGATGGATATTCAGGTTACAAGGTAGCCTTTATGAAACTTAAACTCCAATTTATTTTATTTATTTTTGTTACTCTCTTTTAGATGATTCAGTGTACCTATTTGTGGTGAATCATCCACATCAAAAGAGCACAGTAGAGGTGTTTACATTTGTAGAAGATGATAATTCTCTCAAACATCTGAAAACTATCAAACATGATCTTCTGCCTAGGTACTGGGTTCAAACCACCATTCTTTCTGTGTAAAAAGCTATTTTTGGTAAATGAATTGGGTAACATAACCTGAAGAGGGCTTTTCCATTTTAAAAGTTTTTCTACAACTTTCATGGATTCCTTCCTTCTGGATAATGCCAGAAGGCTATAGTTTTTTCTTGTCTTGTCTGTTAATAGACTTAATTGCCGTAAAAACAGAGGTTTTGTTTACAGTTAACTTTTTATCCTTTAGGCCAGGAATTAGCAATCCCTGGCAAGTGCGCCAATTAGTGGCACATAGAGACATTTGCCTCAGCTGGCCGCGCCCCCTGTCCCTGGGTTGCGCCCTCTGGCCTGGCCCCTGGAGGGAAGCTGTGAGTGGGTGAGGCCGGGACACAGGCAGGGGCTGTGGAGGGCCTCTGTGCTGGATGCTCCCTGCCCCGGCTGTTCCCAGGGCCTAGGGGCCCCTGCAGCCGGGCCCTTACACTGTGGGCAGCTCTGCCCTGCTCATGCTGTTCCCAGTGTGCAGGGAGGCCAAGCCCAGAGCCAGGAGCCCCCTGAGCCCAGTGTCTTGCCACATGCAGGCGGCATCTCCTCATGGGCAGGATGGTTGCAGCCCATCCCCACGGAGCTGCACAGATCAAGGTAGGCCCCATCTCAGCACACACACCCACCTTCCTGCTGTGGCCTGAGTCTGTGGAGCCCTGAGGCAGCTCCTGCTTCCCGCCAGGCTGGCCTGCTGATGGCACCTCCCCATGCTGCCCTTGCCTGGCCGGGCCCTCCCTCCCAGCCCTAGGCCCAGGCTGCTTCTGCTCCGGGACTGTCAGGGAGGCCTGAGCGCCCTGGCGGCTGCTGCTGGGGTGTTGCTGCCTCCTTTCACCGAACATTGTCCTGGATCACTGGGCCCGAGCTGCAGGGGGGGGCGAAGAGAACTTCCTCTTTCTCTTTTGCCTTTCTTTTCTCTTTCTTTTCCTTTCTTCTGTTTTTCTTCTTTCTTTTTTCTCTTTTTTCTTTCCTCTCTTCTCTCTTTTCTTTCTGTCTCCCTGCTTGTGTCCTTTTTTCTCTTCTCTTTTCTTTCTCTCTTCTGTCCATCTCTTTCTCTCCATCTCTCTCTTTTCTTTCTCTGTCCTTTTTCTTTTTTCCTTTTTCTCCTTTTCTGTCTTTTCTCTCTTCTGCTTCCTTTTTCTCCACCTTTTCTTTCCCATCCTTTTTTCTCTCTCCTTTCTTCTTTTTCTCTCCCTTTTCTTTTTTCTTTCTCTCCTCCTTTCTTTCTCTTTCCCTCTTCCTTTCTTTCTCTCTCTTCCCCCTCTCATCACATCATGCTTAACAGAAAAAATACACAAGAACAGAGGTAATATATGAAGTTTTATTTATTGTCACCAGGTTTAGAATTTTTAGAAAACGTTGTATTTACTGTTAAAACAAAAAACAAAAAAACCAAAAAAAAAACCACCAAACAACTATTTGCAGTACGTCCCACCATAATAACCCCTGTCCTGGTTTTATTTTTCTGGCATGCTGGCACTCCAGCACCTTATAAGGTAGACATTGCAGTTTTTTCAGCACTCCAGCCAAAAATGTTACTTACCCCTGCTTGAGGCATTTCATAGATTCCTAGTTGTTAGGGGCTGAAAGGGATCTTACAGATCATTGGGTCTTTGGATTTACTCTGTGAGACAGAAAACTTTTAATTTATTGAGTTTAATTTCTTATTGCTATCTAGGCTGTTTCTCTCCACTAGTTCCAAAAGGCTTAATAGAAGGTGACTAATGATACCTTTTTCAATTTTCAACTTTTAAATCAATTTTGTTGTATGAACAGACCATTGGGCGGGGGGTGGGGAAGAACGTAGATAGCAAGATTATTGACTTTTCTTCTCTAGCACTAATCACGGTATACTTTGCAAACCTCTATTTCTTATTTCTCTTTTTATTTTTAGTGTGAATGATATTCTGGCTGTGGGACCTGACCGTTTCTATGCTACCAATGACCACTATTTCTCTGATTCTGTATTGATGTTCTTGGAGATGTTCTTGGGCTTAACTTGGTCAAATGTTGTTTACTACAGCCCAACAGAAGTTAAAGAGGTATCAGGAGGATTTTATTCAGCCAATGGAATCAACATGTCCCCTGATGAGAAGTAAGTCTGTCTTTGTCTCATTTAGTGAGTTGTCATTTAAAAAAAAAGCTGGGAAATGGTCATAACTTGTGCGTAGATTAATATTTTTACTACAGTTGTTGTTGATGTGTGGGTTTAAATGTTGAAAATGATTGACAGGTAGGAGATGCTCTTTGTAAATTGCAACTCTAACTTGAAATATTGTGGAACAAAAGTAGGTAATATACTTGGACACATTTGGTGTCCAGTGTTATCATAGTAGCATGAACCAGTTGGTATAGAAATTATATATTGCTTGCAAGAATTATTTATATAAACTTCCTTCTAAAAACGTCTTAAGGTCTTCTGTTCATTTAATGGTACAGGCAACTAAACTATTTTCAGCAGTCTGTCTTAAGCTGGGCATGCTGTGGATGCCCTCAGATTTTACAGATGTTTCTAACTGTTTATTCGGTAAAGCATTTAAAAGGCAGTGCTTGCACATACAGAATCAGTTTATCCCAGCTGTGATAACTCCCGCTCTGTTAATAGATACTAATTCTTTCTTTTCAAGGTATATCTATATTGCTGATTTGTTGGATCATAATATTCACGTTATGGAAAAACATGCTAATTGGAATTTAACTCAAATGAAGGTAAGGTCTTCTAGTTAGGAAAAGAGCCTAATCTGTGTGAAATTAGAGCATTGTTTATAAAAGTGCATCTGTTAACATATTAAAGGCACAGAGAGTAGAAACAATTTTTTGTTTGTTTCCTTCTAATAAAAGCAACTTAAAGATAAACCTCCAGATTTGTCATTGATCAAGGCCTCTGCTGAGGCACAGCCTGACCAACTAATACAGAATCCTAGAAAGTTAGGGTTGGAAGGGACCTCAGGAGGTCATCTAGTCCAACCCTCTGCTCAAAACAGAACCATCCCCAACTAGATCATCCCAGCGAAAGCTTTGTCTAGCCAGGTCTTAAAAACCTCCAAGGATGGAGATTCCACCACCACCTCTGTGGGTAACCTGCTCCAGTGGTTTACTACCCTCCTAGTGAGAAAACTCATCCTAATATCTGTCCTAAACTTCCCTTGCTGCAACTTGAGACTGTTGCTCCTTGTTCTGTCATCTGCCACCACTGAGAACAGTCTAGCTCCATCCTCTTGAACTCCCCTTCAGGTAGTTGAAGGTTGCTATTAAATTCCCTCTTAGTGTCCTCTTCTCCAGAATAAATAAAATGGACTGCCGTCTCCTGGACTGTCCCCAATTTGTCCTTTGTGTAGTGGAGGCCAAAAACTGGGCACAGTACTCTAGATGTAGCCTCACCAGTGCCAAATAGAGGGGAATAATCACTTCCCCCTCTCAGTCTTCTCTCCTCTAGACTAAATAAGCCCAGTTCCCTCAGCGTTTCCTCAGAAATCATGTGCCCCAGCCCCCTCACCATTTTTGTTACCCTCCGTTGGACTGTCTCCAATTTTTCCAGATCCTTTGGGGGCCCTAAACTAAACACAGTACTCCAGATGCGGCCTTATCAGTGCTGAATAGAGGGGAGTAATCACTTGCCTTGACCTACTGGCAACACACCTACCAATGCAGCCAGTATGCCATTAGCCTTCTTGGCAAGGGCACACTGCTGGCTCATATTCAGCTTATTGTCCACTGTCACACCCAGGTCCCATCCTGCAGAGCAGCTGCCCAGCCAGTTAGCCCCCAGCCTGTACTGGTGCATAGGATTGTTCAGTCCTAAGTGCAGGACTTTGCACTTGTCCTTGTTGAACTTCATGAGATTCCTTTTGACTCAATCCTTCAATTTGTCTAGGTCTCTCTGAATCCTAGCCCTACCGTGCAGCGTATCTACTACTCCCCTCATCTTGGTGCTATCTGCAAACTTGCTGAAGGTGCACTCTAAGCCATCTTCCAGGTTGTTGATAAAAACATTGAACAAAGCAGGCCCCAGGACTGACCCCTGGGGAACTCCACTTGATACTGGCTGTCAAGTAGACATCCAGCCATTGATTACTGCTCTCTGAGCCCGGTGGTTCAGCCAGTTCTCTATCCATTTTGTTAGAAGTAACTCCTGCTGACATTAATAGGGAGATTTGTCAAGGGTGTGCTTTTAATCACTGTTGCTGACCTTAGGCATCCAGATGAAACATAAAGGAGAAGGTAGTCCTTATGGTACATAGGGCTTTATTGGTCAAAACTGACATGCTCAAATGAATTGCACGTGGAACGCTATTGGAAGCCAGTGCAGGCTTTAGAGCATTAGAGTAAGATGTTCCTGATGATCTCCTCCACTTAGAAGTCAGGCCACTGCATTCTGTAGCAGTTGCAGCTTTCAAATGGTCCTCAAGAGCAGCCCCAGGTAGCACACATCGTAGTAATCTAGCTTTGGGTTTACAAAAGCATAAGAATGTAGCGTATTTCACACATCTGTATTAGCTGAGGGATCCAGCTAACATGAATGTTTCTATAAATGGCCCAAAATGGTTTGGTAATTGATCAATTTTGTAAAAACAAGGCTTAGGAGCTAACATAGAAGCTGCATAAAATCTGGTGCACTATGGAATACATGCACCAGATACTGCTTTGTTAACATTCACTACTGAGGGGGAAACTGTTTGATAATAAACTTATATAGTTGTTGCTGCAAAATACATCCCTTGGATAAATGTACTGATTATAAATTAATTAAAGAAAAAAACCCATGTAAATAGAATTTGTGGGGCTTTGGTACATCTAGCATTTTTCATTTTTGCTTCCTCCCCTATTTGATAGGTGCTGCAATTGGACACGCTTATTGATAACTTATTTATTGATCATTCTACTGGAGATATTTGGGCAGGGTGTCATCCCAGTGGTATGAAGGTGTTTTTCTATGATCCTGAGAATCCCCCTGGTTCTGAGGTTAGTTTTAAATGAGTTAATTGAAATACTAAGCCTTCCCTATAGTATATATATTAAAAAAAAAAAATCATACAGCCATTACTCATATTGGCTTATTGACACAACTTTCTCACTATGGGTGCAATTATAGAAGAAGAGAAATGTTTACACAGTGATACAGGAAGGGGAATAAAAGCACATACTTTTATACTGAAATAACTACTAAAGCAGGGGTTTGGCTATCTCCATTACAAAAAACATGCCCCCCATCCCCCCACAATACTTATTCTTGGTCAAAATAGTTAAATTGTTACTAAATCTGTGTAGAGACCCTCAATGTCTGTCTCCTAAGAGAAAATAAAAGGAGCATTTTGAACCCTACTAGCAGGGAGTATGGTAGTTTTGCAAATGTGCCATGTTTAAGCCTAGGGACAGACATTTAAAAAGCCTGAGCCTGAATTGATTCAATCTTTGCAGGTTAGTCTAACTTGGCTAGCCTGAACCAGTTTGTAACCAGACAGACATTCTGTGTGGACTGAGGAAATTCAGGCACATGCCTGCAGTGGCTCAGGCTAGAAGCTGGAGGGGGGGCACTAGAGCAGCCTTCCCTTCCCTTCTATAGTTCCGAGCTGAAGGGGGGTGGGGTGTGGCCAGGCCCCAGCAAGACCTCTGATTGGGGGCGGGGTGTAAACCCCCAACCTGCCTGCACTATCCCATGCTTTTCCCTGCTTGCTGCTCAAGGGATGGGAGTGTTGCCAGCCCCCAGCTGGCAGTCTGAGGCAAGGAAAGGTGTGCAGTGCATGCATCTGTTGATGATACGGAGCTTTTCAATGTCTTTCCCTGCTTCTTTATACTGTCTGCAGCAAAGTGACAAGCGAGCAAGCCATCAGGGAACTGATAACAGTGTTTATCACCTCATCAGCAAAACAATAGCCTCTCTCCATTAGTTTGGACTCTTAAACAGCTTACCAGCTGACCTGTTGATTTAGCTCCAAAAAGCCCTAAGTTGTCACTGTTCTGTCTGCCTGTCCCAGTGAAATTGAAGACACACACAGACACCTCTTGGCATTAGCTAGCATACCACATGCCTAGGGTCCGTGGGGCCGGTGTTCGTGCTGTGGGAGATGGGAGGGAGGAGAGGGGGCTTCCTGCTTGAGCAGCGAAGAGCTGGTAGGGCAGGGGGAAGCCAGGCAGACCCTGCTGTGCCTGCAAGTCCCTGCTGGAGCAGCAACCAGGGAGCAGAGGGGTGGGGCCAGCCCTGCTGTGGAACAGAGAGCCCTGCCCAACCCGGAGACCATGGTGGGGGGGTCTGGTTTGAGATAAACCTGGTTGAATGTAGTTTCAGACTTAACTGATCTGGGTCAAACCAGTTTATGCAGTATCTGTCCCAGACCCCTTGCTGGTTTGAGATAAACCAGTTTCAGACATTTTCAAACTGGTTTATGTGCACTGAACATCTGTTCTGTTACTGGTTTAAGCCAGTTTCTGATCACTTAAATCATTTTATATGTAATGTCTGTCCCTAGCCTAAGAGAACACTTCTGTATGTTTTCATGAAGTATTACTGGTATCTCATTGTTTGGAAAAGACAGTAGTAATGCTACCAGTCATACAGCTTGTCAGCAAAACATCAGGTTTTGTCTTTTCTCCCAGCTGCAGTTAATGTTCCTGAATGGTGAAGAGAACTAATGCAACACCTCTGTGCTAATGTTGGCTGTTCAGAACTAAAATCATATAGCTAAAATTCTGCCATACACCAATGTTGTCCAAATTGTTTTCTGACCTGTTGGTAGTCTGGGAGACCATAAATGGTGTGTAAATTATGTTAAGCCTTGTGCATCTGTGAAGAGTATTTAGTTAAAAGTATTTAGTTATGCGTGGTGCATGCATAAAGGTGCGCAGTGCTCTGTCAGAAATGTTGATAGTTGATGGTCTATTAGCCAAAGTAGTTTGGGAAACCCTACCATCCAGTATCCAGAGCCATAATCCTCACTATGTCTTGGTAACCTAAATAAGTCTGAATTGGCAAATTGAGCAGGAAGTCCCCTTTGGAGGTCTGAGCTGGAGAGAGTTAGGCATCCATATTCCTTTGACTTTCAGTAGGAGCTGGTATAACTTACTGTGGCTCCTTAGAAGATCCAGGTCAAAATACCTGATGTACCATTGCAGATTGGGGGTCAAGTAACTTGACTGCTTTCTAAGAAATTGCATGAGCATTAAACTGGTATAGTGCAGTGAATGACTGGTCTTGGATCATTTGCAGGAGGTGAAGTGGAAAGTGTTTCAGAATATCACATACATGGTCAAGGAGATGGTACTGCTTCTTGTGTGGAGTCTTGTCTTTGCTATGATACCTACTTAACACTTTTTTGTAGGCCTCATTTTTCCCAGAAAGATAAAATCACTATGTCATGTCCCAGACATTGACACCATTTACATCCTGTGCCAAACTGATGTGTATTAAGCAATACTCTATTTTAATAATACACGGCAGTTGGCTCTGCCCTCCAGAGCCTCTCGTAGCTTCAATCCAGCTTTCTCTGCAAGCTATGTTCCATGTGTCCTATAGCTCCTGGCATTTGCTTTGGCTGAAAAAATCCCCCCATATGCCTGAGCCTTGAACTTTAACCCAGGCTGACTTGGACTCTGTGGCCTCATCCAGAGAAGGGATATGTGTTTCAAGTGGCACAAATTTGTGCTGATACTTTGTGCTGCAGTGCACACCCGTGCACATGCCCTTTGTTGCAGGACACATTGTTCTGCAATGGGCAAACTGCCCATTTCCAGCTCTTTCTGGCTCCATGTGCCCCATGCTGAAGCAACCCGCACCCCACCAGCCAGGGGGTGGCACATGGAGATGGGGGAGTAGGCAGTTTGGGCTGCCTGTTCCCCTTTCTCTGTGTGCTACAGAGCCCCCCATGCTAAGGCACCTTGTGCCCCAGCCAGCCACTCCACAACTGGCTGGGGTGCAGGGCGCCTCAGTGTGGGGGCTTCCTGTCTCCATGTGTCTCACTGTGGGGGCTCTGCAGTGGAGC